AACGTGGTAGGACTTAGCGCTCGGCTTCATTGTTGTTTTTCCCTCACCTTCCCTTATTAGGTCACCAGTCAGAGCACATGTCTGCTCGAGTATTCCCACTGAATCTTAGCCTTGGAAGGGGACCTGACCACTTGCCTTGATGTCTCCTGGGCGAGCAACTTGCTTGTTCTTGTAGTAATCAGTTGAACTGCTATTAGCGATTTTTATTTTTCCTATTAGTCTTTCTTTCAAGAAGTATCTTCTGTTCTTCTTGCTGCTCCAGGCTGGTCTGCTTGTTGTAGATTTTCTCTTGAAGAGCCAGAGTCTCTTCTGACATCCATTTTTGTCTTATTATTATTTTCCTTTCCTGCCTTTTTAGTGCACTTTTGCTTTCTTTCCATATGATGTTCTTGTTATCCCACAGCTCGTCTAGTCTTTGATCAGTAGTGTTTAATGCATCAAATCTATTCTTGAGATGGTTTCTAAAATCAGGCAGGATTAACTCAAGGTCATATTTTGGCCCTAATTTTCTTAAATTTTCACCTGAATTTGCATATGAACAGTTGGTGGTCTGTTCCACAGCCAGCCTCTGGCCTTGTCTTGACTGTTGATATTGAGCTTCTCCACCATCTCTTCCCACAGATGTAGTCAGTTTGATTCCTGTGTATTGATCTGAGGAGGTTCATACTTGTATGTTGAGGTTCACTTTTTATGATGTTGATAAAAGGTATTTTCAATGAAGACGTCATTGGTCTTGCAAAATTCTGTCATGGGATCTCCAGCATCCTATCACCAAGGCCATATTATTCTATCATAGATAGTATTGTACTTCATAATAGATCATGAAATGGTCTTTTTGTTGATGAATACAATGCCATTCCTCTTCAGTTTGTTGTTCCCAATGCAGGAAACCATATGATTGTTTGATTCAGCCTGGCTGAATCCATTTCAACTCACTAATGCCTTGGATATCAATCTTTATGTATTTCATTTAATTTTTTTTAAGACTTCCAATTTTCTTAGATTCATACTTTGTCCTTTCCATGTTCTGGCTATTAGTGGATGTTTGCAGCCATTTATTCCCATTTGAGTTGTACTACATCAACAAATGAAGGTTTCAGAATTTTGTTGTATTCACATCCTTAACGCTAAGGAAAAAACTTTCCCCAGTTGTATCTTGGCTGCCTTCCAACCTGAGGGGCTCATCTTCTGGTACTTTATCTGACAGTGTTCTTCCTCCATTCATAAGGTTTTCAGTTACTAATCATTTAGAAGCAGACCGACTCGTCTTCCTAGTCTGTCTGAATCTTGAAGTGCCGCTTAAACCTATTCACCATGAGTAACCCTCCTCGCATTTAAAATACCAGTGACTTAGCTTCCAGCATCAGAACAACCCACAAGCCACCAGAGAGTATGACAGGCAAGATGATTGTGAATATTCTTCTTTAATACCCAATCAAAATTCAATAAGTAGTAGTTTCTTAGACATTAGTTGCAGAGTACAATCTGAAAGTGTATAATATTTTCATACATTGAAAGTAATTGATTTATTTTTCCATTTACCCTGTCATGATTTTATATCATAAATATCTGACCATTTAGAAAATGAGCTCCTTGAGGTATGCATATTTTCCAAATGTTGATACATGTTATTAACTATTTCAAAAATCTGATTTGTTAATGCCAACACCTTTCTTACATCTTAAGTCGTTGGAAGGTATCACACTTGTATTGACTAAAAAACAAATTTAGTAGAATTTTAAAGTTTTGTTCTTAGACTCATAATTTATATCACTAATAAATTTCCAGTTTTCATTGGAGTATAACAGACATGTCATCAGTTTTGGGAAGTTCTTTGAAGAAAGCCTGGATACGCATAATATTGCCTTCTTTTTTTTAAAAAAAAAAAAAGGAAAAGTGATATGCTTTTACAACCAGTAACAAAGTCATTACACAGCTCAAACAATTGTTAAGTACTTTTCCAGGAAAGCAGTCATCATACTACAGTGGACAGAAGAGTGCTTTAAGTGTACTTCCCATTGTATAATAGAATGTTAATCAGATAAGTGTTCAAGAGTGAAGAGTTAATCAAATTAATTTATTTTACTTCATCAAAGGCATTAAAAAAGAAGCTGCAATTAAACAACAACAACAACAACAACAGTGTCTTGCCATGAATAACACAATAATAGAAGTGAACTTCGATGCTATTGCTTAAGTTGTGTTAAAGTGCCAGTAGTTTTACCATCAGGTCAAATGCCAAAGAGGTGAAATACACTGATCCCCTGAAATTGGGTTGGATACCCACCCCACCCCACCCCCAGAGTTCTGCAGATTACACTTTGAGAATCATGGACTTTAGAGAATGGTAAGGAAACTTTCTGCCAAGGGCCGGATAGTAAATATTTAAGGTACTGTAGACCATGCGATCTTCTGCCCAAGCTACTGAGCTATCATTATAACAAAACATCTAGACTGTATGACTGAATGAGTGTCTATGTGTTAATTCAACTTCAATCACAAAACAAATGGCAGACTGAGTCTGACCCCATGGGCTATCATAATTTGCCTACCCCTGATCTAGAGCATCTCATGTTTGCTGTTAGCTCTGGCTTCTGTTAGCAAACTTTGAATCTAGAGTCTCTTATTAGTGCATACATATGAATAATTGTGATCTGATTCAGAATTAGTTTTGTCCTGTCTAAATTTATATCAGATGCATTTCCATAATAGTCCCAGATTTCTGCCAAAATAGATTAATCAAAATTAATACAATATTTAAATTTATTTTTAAATTCAATTAATAGTTTATTCCTTTCTGGTTTGATTTTTAACTACCCTGGAATATAGATTTTTTTTTTCCCTCATAACAGTTTCAATTCACTTTATAACTCTATGGGTAGTTCTTCAAGGTGTGTCTTTACCTGGCAAAAGGAGAAATTAATCCTGAAGTGTTATCTTGGTGTGGCACTGTGGGATAATGCACTGAATCACAAGGTCATTTTGAACCGCAAAGTTGGTGGTTCAAACTTACCAGGCGCTCCTTGCAGGGTTGCTATGAGTCGGAACTGGCTCGATGGCATGTAACAACATCCCTAGTTTAGGATCCCTGGTAGCACTGGCTACATGTTTGGTTCCTAAAAGGTGACCCGGTGGTTGGTTCATGGTTTGAACACACCAGTTGCTCCAAGGGAGAAAGATGAAGCAACCTACTTTTCATAAAGATTATAGCCTTAAAAACCCTATGGGGAAGTTGGCTGCCCTGGAGTCCTCGTGTGGTACTGTAAGCTAAGTACTGGAATGCTAACTGTGAAGTTGGTGGTTTAAATCCACCAGTCACTCCTTGGAAACACAGGATTATTATGATTCAAAATCAACTCAATGACACATTTGGTATGAGTTGTAAATGAGCTTTAGCCTGAGAACTTCATTGTTAGTAATCTTTTAGTTCCTTAGTAATACATTGAACTATGCAGTTGGTCAGTTTTTCTGAAAAAAGTATAATTTCCGCTTGCAGATCCCTGCACCCCATTGCAGCCCCAAAGGATAAACTTTAAAAAAAAAAAATTCCCCTGTGGTTTATTTTGTTACGATACAATAAAGATTTCTCCAGTCCATCCATTTTGGAAACTAAGCAAGACATCTCAGACTAAGACTCAGTGTGAGTGTGCTTCTCCCAGACATTCAAGGAATAAAGGAAAACCAAACTGCATTTTTAATATTTGGCCATTTAAAGCACTCTTAGGGAATAAACAGACAACTTTATCTGAATTGGCAGGTTATATCAGTGAATTTGGAGATTTATGAATGAAAAATTGTAATTGTTAATCCCCAGTGTGATTGTCAGTTAACATTATCAGTAGCAAAAATGGCAAGCCCTTGCTACTAACCAAAAGGTTGGTGGTTCCAATCCACAGCATGTTAACCTCAGAAGAAAGGCTGATATTCTATATCTGAAAGATCACATCCATGAATATTCTATGGAGCGCAGTTGTACTCATATACATCATGAGTCAAAATTGCCAGCATCATTTTTTTTTAAATCATCGTTTTTACAGTTCAGTTGAGTTGGAAATTATTATATAGAGACTAATTAAAGCAAATATTTTAAATATATTCGTTGATTAAAAAAACGTTCCTGATTTGAAAAACTAAAATGTGATTTAAAATCAAATTCACATTTTAACAGTCTTCTTACCAAGATAGTTTTTGGGACTGTGTACTAATTTAGACTGCTTGTTTGCTGTGCTTTATCATATTTTAGTGTAGTTGATGGCATTAGGTTGAAAGTTGGTAAGATTAATAACACCAAAAGCTAAAATATTGTTAGCTTTCTTCTCTTTGCGTCTTCTCACCTCTCACACTCTGTCAGCCTCACGTGTTACCAAGTTTTGAGGACAATTAATGTGTTCAGGAGTAAATACTAAAGTTCAGCTTTAGCTTTGTGTTATTCATAGCTAATAAAGAGGAAAAAAACCTTTAAACAGACTTTATTTTTAGTAATATGTTTCATTTTTCTTCTTTTAGTAGTCATATAAAATTATGTTGTTAAGTGACATCGAGTCGATTCCGACTCATAGTGACCCTGTATAGGGTTTGCAAAGAGTGGCTGGTGAGTTTGAACTGCCGACCTTGTTGATCAAACCAACTTTGAGGTTGAGTGCTTATACTACAGCACCACACCAGGAAAAACCCTAGGGAGGTACATGGGTTTTTATATTGGAAGTATTACTATATACTGATAGAAAATAGATTGCCCTGAATTTATCTGATGTAAATCAGATAAATTTACCTTACAGAAAGCAAATCGTCTGTTCTTAACATTTTCCTTGTATTAGTTTCCCTTTCCTTGGTAGGTATATAAAGAGGGTTTCATACAGAAATGTCTTTAACACCAATTAACTACTGTTATTTAAGTAAGATAAATATCCTTTATGAAGTAGTTAATATAATCAATATATCTGCTATATTTATGATAACTTCTATAATTTTTAAACTTGATATTATATTTAAATTTAAAGCCCTGCCTTTGAATCTACCAGAGAAGAGTCTTCAAGTTTAGTTTCTGAACTTCAAGAAAAACTTCAGGAGGAAAAAGCTAAGTTTCTAGAACAACTTGAAGAGCAAGAAAAAAGAAAGAATGAAGAAATACAAAATGTTCGAACATCTTTGATCGCTGAACAACAGGTATATTACCCTTATTTGAGACTTAAGGAAGGAAGGTATTACATTAACAAATATAATTTAAGGAAGATAGTAAATGAACAAACATGGACTAACAAAAGCTGTGTAGCTAACAAATACACTTTCTTCTGTTTTTTCTGACTACTCTTTCTCATTCCCTTTTTATTGTTTCCTCAGACTATAAATATTAAAAGCCCTTAAGGGTTTGAAACGTGACTTCTTACTTTCTTGCTGTAACCAGATTTATATTTTTCAATTTTTAAAAAAGACAGATTCAATCATCACTTTTTTTTTTTTGGTTTGTTTCAAAAGAGTTACTTTAATTCTAGGTGGTACAGAATTCTGGGCATAACAAAGACTGAAGAGCAGCTCTGGAAGGATTCTGGCCTGGGTTTACTGACCACACAGCTAAGATAGGACTAAAGAGATGGACCATTGTAGGATTTCTTTTTTTTTTTTTTCCCTAAAAAATTTATTATTAAATGTACAACAGGCTCCAAGACAACACTTCAATGTAACTATCGGTGGCAAGAGATATTCTAGCCAGGAATTCAAATGTTTAAACAGAATTGGAATCCAGAGTCACCTTCGCCATAGCCACAAAGAACAGCTGATGTTTTGCCAGATTTCTTAATTCCACCTGTGGCCAGCACTACATTTTATTATGAAAGCCAAAGTAATGGGCTCACAGTGATGGGGGGAGCCAACAGTGTTGAGTAAGAATAGTCTAAGAAAGTTTATTCATGACTTCTATTTTTGATCATAGGAATTTATAATTTATTTGATTCATTCTGTATAATCTTTCATTCTTGTTCTGTCTTCATGCATATATATACACTTTCAGATTTCCAGAATTAAGTTGAGGATGAATTAATTGATACATATCTTAATTTAGTTCTTCATATTTTAAGGCCTCTTAATATCCTATCAGGTCAGATTAGAACAGGTGATTTCTAAAGTAATTTCCAGTTTAAAATAATGAAAACTATTTAGGATAATTTGTACCTCACTCACTGCTATCAAGTTGATACCAACTCATAATGACCTTTTATAGTGTTTTCAAGGCTGTAATCTCTACAGGAGCAGAAAGCCTCATCTTTCTCCTGCAGAGTGGCTGGTGGATTTGAACTGCCAACCTCTTGGTTAGTTAGTAGTTCAGTGTTTATCTTACAGTGCCACCAGAATTCCTTTTAACTTGTACCCTATTTATAAGAATTAGAATCCTGTAATACGATGCTATAGGATAAGCACTGAACTGCTAACCACAAGGTCAGTGGTTGAAACCCACTAACAGTTCCTTGGAAACCCTGTACCAGGTCGCTATGGTTTAGAACTGACCTGACGACACTTAGCAACAACTTACAGATTTCAGTTAAAGTTTTTATTTTACCTTTCCCTTATGTGTATTTTAGTTGTGTTATAATGGTCCTCCAAATCCATTTCATATAATAGAAGCAAAACAAAAATAATGACAGTTAACAATTTGATAATATGCTTTTCGCAAATATTAATATTCAGAATCCTGTGGGCTAATGCATCAGACTGCAAAGTCGTTTGAACTGTAAGGTTGGTGGTTCAAGTTTACCAGCTGCTCCTTGGAAACCCTATAAAGGGTCACTCTGGGTTGGAATCAACTCGACGTCACTTAACAACAACAAACATATAAATACATTCTTAATGCTGAGCCACATAGTAAATGTTCCTCTGAGACGATCTTCCTGTATTACCTATCTGGCTAGATTCATTAAAATGAATTTTGTTAAATTTTACCTTAAAATGCTTTTTATTTTGTTTTTGTATTAAGCCCTCCTCCTGCCAGCATTATTAGCACTACTTGTTGCTCCAAGGACCATAGAACATTTTGATTGTGAAAAGATATAAGTAACTCTTAAAATGTTTCAATGGGAACTACCAATTCAGTTTAGGTAATTTTATCAGTGATATGAAATTTCAATGAGATTTTCTTAATAGAGGTGTAGGCAATAGAGATATTGCAGTCAATCTTTATAAAATTCTCCAGTTTGTTGTCAACATATTCAATACGGAGCCTTTACCATTTTATCATATCATAAGTTAACATTTTGATTTGAAACTAAGCATTTTTTACTTGCTCTTACAAATTGAGTGAAGGTTTATAGAGCATATCAGTTTTACATTCAACAAATCATACACTTCATTTCATCTCAATGATTTCAGCCCTCTCATTTGATATCCCTTATCCCACTTTCTCCCTGTGCTTCATTCTTAAATCATGCTGTGTCTTTTCCACACACTACCACATACAGATTATTTTCTTATCCTTCTACGTTCATGCAGATAATTTAAGTAGTAATTGCTCTGTTGTTCCAGACCAATTTTAACACTGTTTTAACAAGAGAGAAAATGAGAAAAGAAAATATAATAAATGATCTAAGTGACAAGTTGAAAAGTACAATGCAGCAACAAGAACGAGATAAAGGTTAGTACTTTTTTGTTGTGTCATTGTAAATTTCTTTTTATATATCCATTTGAAATTGTTTTTCATTATATAATGCTTATATCAATTTGGGGCCCTCAGATTTGATAGAGTCACTTTCTGAAGATCGAGCTCGTTTGCTTGAAGAAAAGAAAAAACTTGAAGAGGAAGTCAGTAAGTTGCGTAGTAGCAGCTTTGTTCCTTCAGCTTATGGAACTGCAGCCCCAGAGCTTTATGGAGCTTGTGCCCCTGAACTTCCTGGTGAAACAGAGAGATCCACTATGGAAGCAGCAGAGGAAGGGAGATTGGATTCAGCAATGGAGACAAGCATGATGTCTGTGCAGTAAGTCAGCCTCTATGTTAGTTAGGCTTCTAAGCCACTGGTTATAATTTTTTAAAGTAGGAAGTTATGAAGAAGAGAAATGTTTTAATATTATTAAGGTCCTAAAACTAATAGTTGGGCTATTACAGTTCTTTGATTTTAATATTTTTGATTGTATTGATATATGAGTCACTTCAAAGTGGTTTTCATACTATAAATGTGTATCAAAATTATCCTAGGTTGTGGTGGTGATGGACCATTTTTATATACAGGTAGCGTTTAAGCTTTAAGTTTCAATACCCAGGATAGCACGTTAAAGTAATAATGAATAATCATAAATAGAACCATGTGGATTGTGGGACAAGTGTTGAATGAGAACAGATAGGACTGAGGAGGCTTTTGAAATGTAAGATGTATAAGGGTTCTTCAAAAAATTCATGGAAAAATGGAATTAAAAAATAATGGAATTATTCCACGAACTTTTTGAAACCCACTTATTTTTAGGTTTCTGTCTAGTCCAATTAAAGGATATAGAAACTGTTTAACATTAGACATGCAAAGGCATAAAGCTTAAGGATATGTTCAAAGTAAGTAAACCATTTAGAAGTAGATTGCTAAGGTTTCAAATTGGTAAAGAAAAGAAAATGAATAAAATGTAATTTTAAAAGAGCAGGCAAGGCATAAAATTTATAAGCATGATGCATAGAAATCAAATACTACTCTTGTTCATCAATCCAAATACATTTATTATGAGTTCTGTTCCCCTTTGCTACTTTTTGTTCTAACACCAGCTTCACATGCATCACCTCTTACTTGGACCCTATTCCCTCAAACTAGGTCAGATCTCACAAGTTCACCATCACAGTCCTCCAAAGTGCCGTGTCTGCCTTAAGCTTTAGATGTCAGCTACAAGCTCAGGATTTCCTAAGGGCTCCTGCCACCTCTGATGTAAACACCAAAACTGTTGCCATTAAGTTGATGGCAGAGGTCTTATAGGATTTCTAAGGTGTGGTGCTGTAGAATCAGCACTGGACTGCGAACAAAGTCGCAAGTTCAAATCCACCAGCTGCTCCAGGGAAACCCTACTTAGGGTTACTATGAGTCAGAACCAGCTCAACAGCACTCAGCAACAACAACCTTCACAGAAGCAGACTGCCAGTCTTTCTTCAGCAGAGTAGCTGACCTTTTGGATAACAGTGTCGTGCTTAACTACTGTATCACCTGGACTCTTCACCTCTGATCTACTAGCTGCAAGTTTGGAGGTTCTGTCCAGTCTCTCAGGATGCGAACTCACCTCAGTATCCCCCTGACATCTAATCTACTGGTTCTTACTAAGTTCCTGGGCTTGATAATGTGTTATTAAACAATTCACAGAATTCATGGAATACACTATACTTTAAAAATTACTCATAGCGACCTTATGCACAACAGAACGAAACACTGCCTGGTCCTGCACCATCCTCAAAATTGTAAAGCTTGAGCCCCTACTGCTGCCACTGTGCCAATCCATCTCTTCAGGAGTCTTCCTCTTTTTTGCTGATCCTACACTTTATTACCAAGCATGATGTCCTTCCTCAGGGACTGGTCTGATGAAGTCTGGCCATCCTGGCTTCTAAGATGCATTCTGACTATGCTTCTCCCAACACAAATTTGTTTGTTCTTACAGCAATTCTTCTCCAACACCATAACTCAAATGCATCAATTCTGTCATGGTTTTCCTTATTTACACATGCATATGAGGTTGTCGAAAGTACCATGGCTTAGTTCAGGAACACTGTTGTCCTCAAACAGATATCTTTGTTCTTGAACACTTTATGCGGCAGATGTTGTCAGTGATAGTGTCCTTCTCTGCATTTGGTTTAAATTTCTGGCAGCTGCTTTGAAGTACTGCTACCTAATACAGTACATCATTTGACTACTGCTTCCATTAGTATTGATAGTGAATTCAAGCAAAATGAAGTCTTAGATTTCATTTTCTCCATTTATCATTATTTATGGTCCAATGGTGAGGATTTTTGTTTTGCATTGAGGTGCAGCCCATCCTGAAGGCGGCATAGTCATGTCATTAACATAAAATGTAGAGTAAGTGTGGTCTGAAGTCCTTGAAGGTAACAAAGACACTTCAATCCCTGAGGAAAGGTTTTAGAGGTTATCTCTCAGGATCCAAGTACATAGATAACATCTTTGGGTATAAATTACCCCACAGGTGGTTATTATAAAACATAGCATAAATGCTAGAAATTACTACAAACAGGTATGAACAAGATAAACTTGACCTATTATTACAGTAAAACCTCGATGGGTTCAGAAGTAGTCGGGGAAATCCATCTCCTACTCAGTCTATACACTTCATAAACAAGAGAGGTACCACAAGCAAAATGGTACAGAAAGTGTGAAACAATGAGACATAACATCCCTGGTACTTAATCTTTGTTACCATCAAACCTGCAATTCAAGGTAAAAGCTATTAAAACTCTAATGAGGAATATTTCATATAGAAGAAAAGAGCACACAGATCACCGAAGAGTTCTTAGTTATTATGTGTAGTTGGTATGTTGTATTGCTATTATGTGTCGTTGACTTTGTTTCAACTTAGAGCGACCCTGTCTAGGGTTTCCGAGGAGTGGCTGGTGGATTTGAATCACCGACTCTGTGGTTAGCAGTCCAGTGCTTATCCTAACACCAAACCAGGTAGTTAGTATAGACAAATGCTTGGGTAGAATTATTAATCTTGAAACAAACCCCTGAATTATGTTGAAATTAATATATGACATTTTGCATCCGTTTGGAAAAAGGATGGACTCCAAGGATTTGGTGTCCAGTTGTGGATGTATATATGTATAGGGGAAGAATGGTCAGTTTTACATTTTATTGCATTGTTTGCAAAAATAATTACAGATATCTTAAAGGTATAATTTCTTTAAGAAAAAACAACAACCTGTAGAATTTCCTAATGTTATGACATCAGAATTAAAGTTAAAACTAAAGTAAATCATTTTCTGATTTTAAGAGAAAATGTTCATATGCTGTCTGAAGAAAAACAGAGGATAATGCTGTTAGAACGAGTAAGTACATATTTTTCTAAATGGCAAAATTTATTATGTTTACTTTGGGGATGTAGTTAAATAAACTTAATTCTGAAAGCATACTTTATTAGACTGTTTCTGTTTGAGCTTATAAATTAAACTTTTGACAAGTCGTACCATTTAGTGTTTGAAGCCACTAAACAATTAGTAGTAATATTTCAGGCCTGTTATGTTTCATAACATATTAGAGAAAAAGAGCTAGCCTTTACAAAACAGAATACTATTCTGTTAGTTAAAACGTATGGTTTTATTCATTAACAGTTCAGAATTTTAGAAGGATATTATAAATAAAGAGTTTTATGTGTTTATTTTTAAAAATTAAATTTTTAGAAACTTTGCATTACAGATACACAATGGAGAAGAGTGGAGACAGGAAATTCACTCTCTAAAAAGTAGAAAATATATATATAATTTTGAAACAACAGCAAAAACTAAAAGATTCATATGTGGGTATATATGTGTATTCAAATATATATGTATGGTGGTGGTTGTTGTTAAGTGCCATTGAGTCGGTTCCAACCCATAGTGACCCTATATAGGCTTTCCAAGGAGCGATTGGTGAGCTTGGACCGCTGACCTTGCAGTTCAAATGACTTTGCGGTCTGGCGCATTAACCCACAGTGCCACACCAGGACTCCTGTATATGTATGGTGGTGATGGCTGTGTGCCATGGAGTCAGTTCTGACTCATAGCGAACCTGTACAGGGTTTCCGAGGCTGTAAATCTTTACAGGAGCAGAGCACCTCATCTTTCTCCTGCGGAGTCGCTGGTAGTTTCGAACCACTGACCTTGTAGTTTACAGCCCAATTCGAAACCACTATGCTACCAGAGATATAAGTATATACATATACATCTATGTGACTGTATTCAAATATGTTTCTATGTAAGAGTGAATTTAGAAGTATTGCTACAAAAGCATAGAAGTCTTTATCAGATAGTGAAGCTAGTGTTTCTTAGCATATCCTCCTCCATCAGTGTGTGTGCGCTTTTAAAGACAGTGTTTCCATCTCTAGCCCTTCAATGAAGAATTGTGCAAAATTCTGTTTGAAAATTATATATATATGCCGCAGCAAGTAATAATTTACACCATGTCAAAATAGCAGTTGAAGCATATTCAGCATATTCGTATTCCTTTTAAATGTTATTGGAATTTCGGCAACAAAATGAAGACTGAATGGGCAAGATTAGGGCTATAAAGTGAATGGGGTAAGGTTTCCCAAGTAAATTCCCATAGAATAACATTTGCTACCCTCAGAGAATGAGCAGGTACATTGATGTGATTGAAAAAAATTTCCTCAGCATCACTTTCCTGACCTGTTGCTCATCAGTGCAATTTTTAATTTTCTAAACTTCAAAATGATCCCCCATGATTTCCTGGTAACCTTTGAGAAAACCAAGATTGCTCCCTTTGGAATCCTAAAACACAGTTGTTATAATCTTCTGAATTTATCTCTGCTTTGAAATTAACTGGCCCAGCAGATCCCTTCGGAAGCCACTGCTTTAGTTGGACCTATTTTTGAAGGCACCCTAGCAAGATTAAGATAGTGTATGAGAGGCTTCAAATTTTTTCTGTTAAAATTCAATTATCTTTTCAATTCCATTTTTCTACAAACATATTGAAGCCACCTCTTATTACCGAGAGAACTTGTCTACAACTGTCCGTTGATCTTAGAGACTTGTTTAAATTTGCTTTGTTTGGAGTAGACCTGTACATGTATGAATTGGAACCCTTGTAGCAATACTTTCAACTTACCCTCTTATGTTATAAAGCACAGATGTGGCACAGTTTATAGATACTTATTAGACATAACCAAACATGTTACAGGATTAGACTTCTAGATTTGAAGGGTTAGGGCCATATAGTCTCATGGATCATTTAGGTCAATTGACCTAATAGTTCCTAAAGTAATGTTCTACATTCTAGTTTGGTGAGTAGTGTCTGATATCTGAAAAGCTTGTGAGTAACCATCTAAGGTGTGTTCACCTTTGGTCTCTAATACTGTGTAACACAAGATAAAGACGAAACTTGTCTGCAGTACCGATATTCTTCATAAATCATGGCTTCATCTACCCTGAGACTCAAGCAACTAGCTGTGGCTGGGCTACCACTACCAACCATTGTTAATCTAGGCCACAAAGGATGAATTGAGAGAAAGGGGGAAATATGGAACAGAACCTTACATTCCTTAAAACAAAACAAAATCTAGACCTATTGACTGGCTGAGACTAATGGGTCCCCAAGACTATCGTCGTGTGAAACCCTTCAACCAAAACTACCCCTGTAGCTAAATAACAAAGTTGGCTCAAAAATAATGAACATCACCTATTAAGTACTGTGTTCCTTTTAAACAAATCACTCATATGAAACCAGATAGTCGATACTTAAATATCCAAAAATTAGAATTATATAACTTAGTTGAAATTTAGCATGTTTTGTTCTTTCTTAAGGGTTTTTGTGACTGTTTACATCAGACTCACCTGAAATGTATGTTACAACATTTTGTTTAGATAAATGTGCCTAAAATTATGCTGATTGACATTGAAGGCAAAAATGGATCCATAGAAAATAATATCACCGTTAGCATTTCTTGCCAGAAAAACAATCATTACTCTTGCATTTATTATTCTTTATAGATTTATTTGAATAACTGAGGATAAATCACAGATTTGTTTTTCTTCTGCAGACATTGCAATTGAAAGAAGAAGAAAACAAGCGGTTAAATCAAAGACTTGTAAGTTTTTTTTTTGTTTTTTTTTTGCCAAATTGATCTTAACTATTTTTTAATTATTTGATAAAGATACCCCATCAGAAGGCTACATGCCATAATTATTTCCTGCCGTTGTATTGAACCCTGTTGGACACTGGTGACTATTGATACCTAGAATTAAGTCAGGTCAAGGTTGTTGTCACTGTCCTTGTTTCCGATTCATAGTGACCCTGTATTGGGTTTCCATAGAGCAGCTGGTGGGTTTGAACCACTGACCTTGCAGATTGCAGTGCAGTGCCTATCCTTTTTTTTCACAGCATGAAAGGAAATACGTCTTTGTGAGAAGACTGTAAATCTGACCACATGAGGTGCTTTTAAAAGTAACAGATGATTGCAATCTTATGAACCTTGAAACTTTTTTTTTTTAAGTGAAGTGATCTGAAAGTTATAGGAACCTGTATAGTCTTTTGAATTACCTTGCTTACTTAAATTACCTTTGAATTTAACCAGTTACTTGGGTGGCTAGTTTGTCTTATAGTCAATGATAATTGCTTTAATTAAGCAATTATTTAATTTTCCAATTTCTGCTAAATACTATATATATATGGTAACCAGACCAATTTGAGGTGTGTGTTCAGTACTTCGAACAAGTCCTTAGATACTCTTTAAAATGAAATTTTAAAAACTTTTTATTATGAATTGAGTAAAGATTTACAGAACAGATCATCAGTTTTAAATTAAACAAATCATATATTTTGCTTCATTACAATGATTGCAATCCCCTCCAAGTACCATCAGTTAACAGTATATACCTCCATTTTCTTTAACTCTTGTGCTCGTCACTGTGTATCCTGCTACTTTCATCTTTCTTTTGTCAGCTTCCTTCTTGTTGTATATGTGTGTCTGCCATCTAGCCTGTGAATGATTCTTTCCCACCCATCCCTCTGCTTTCCTGTAACCATCATAGAATGTTTCGCTTAGCAATGATATCGTTTATTAACAGGGTCTCATACAATATTTGTCCTTTTATGATTGACTTATTGTTAGTATAATGTCAGGTTCATCCATGTTGCAAGGTGTTTTTCAGATATGTTATTTGTCATTTCACAGCATTCCATTAGTTTAGCCATTCTTCTGCTGATGGGCATTTAGGCTATCTTAATCTTTGCAGTTGTGAATGCTGCTGCATATGCATGTGCATATATTTTTCGCATCTAGACTCTGTTTCTTGAGGATATATACCAAGTGGAAGTATTGTTGGGTCAATCAGTGCTTCTATTTCTAACATTTTTGGAAACCACCAAACTGTTTTCCACAATGGTTGTACCATTTTACAGTTCCACCAGCAGTATAGGAGGGTCACTGTCTCTTCACACCCTTGTTTTCTGTGTGTTTTTTTTTTTAAACTTTGCTAATATCTACGTAAGATGATACATTATTATTATTTACTGGTATAGCGCAAGGTTGGCTTGAACCACAAGGTCAGCAGTCCAAACCTACCAGCCAATTCTCAGAAACCCTATACAGAGTTGCTATGGGTCGGAACCGACTCAACGGCACTTAGCAACAACAATAACAATGGCTAATGATTGTGAACATTTCTTCATATGTTTGTTAATGTCTTTCTTTGGTGAAGTGTTTATTTCCTGCTGCCAATTTTTTAATTGCGTGGTTTGTCGTATTTTTGTTGAAGCATTGAAGTGTTCTATAAATTTTGGAGAGTAATCTTTTGTATATGTCATTGCCAAGCATTTTTTCCCAGTCTGTGGGTTCTTATTTTACTCTTTGGTGTGATATACATAAGTATGTAATTTTTAAGATGCCCCAGTCATCTATTTTGTCTTCTGTTGTGTGCTTTCAGTTATACTTTATAATGTATTTATCTCATGTGATAATGTATTTATGGCTAAGTTTGTCTCCGTTTTTTTTCATTGATTATCCTTATAGTTCTTGGCTTTACATTTAAGTCATTAGTATACATTAAGTTCATATAGCATGAGATCTGAGTCTTGCTTCAAATGGACTTTTTGCCCAGCACCCTTTACTAAAGAGACTACCTCTTCCTCATTTAATGCATTTGGGCTCTTCGTTGAAGATCAACCAACTTTAGGTGGACAGTCTTACTTCTGGGTTCTCATTTCTGTTCCATTAATCTATGTGGTTTTCATTATTTCAGTACCATGCTGTTTTGATTACTGTGGTTATGTAGTAAGTTTTGAGATCGGGAAATGAGAGGCATCCTTCTTTGTTCTTTCCAATAATTCTTTGCTTATTTGGGATCTTTTTCTTTTCCATATAATTTTGGTGCTTAGTTTTTCCATTTCTTTGAAAAATGTTGAGATCTGGATTAGGATTGCATTATATTGCTATAGTTGCTCTAGGTATTGTTAACATTTTTACAATGTTAAATCCTTCAATCCACAAGCAGTGTATATTTCACCATTTCTGAAAGTCTTTTTTTTGGTTTCTTATAGCAGTGTTTTGTAGTTTTCTTTGTGTAGATCTTTAGTGTCTTTGCTTAGATTTATTCCCAAATGTTTCATCTTTTGGGTGGCTGTTGAAATGATACTGTTTTCCTGATTTCCTTTTCAGAGCTCTCTTTATTAGTGTAAAGGAATTCTATTGATATTGATTTTTGTGTGTTGGTCCTGTTGCCTGCCACTTTGCCAGATGTACCAATGAATTCCAATAATTTTCTGGTGGAATATTTGAGCTTTTCTAAGTATAGGATCATGTTGTCTGCAAATAGAGAGTTTTACTTCTTTACCAATTTGAATGACTTTAATTTCTCTGTCTTGCTAAGCTTACAGTTCTGGTGAAAACTTCCCAACACAATATTGAATGTACCGTCCAGTCAGTTCCCACTCATAGCAACCCTGTATAGGATTTCCCAGGAACAGTTATTGAACTTTTACCGCTGACCTAGTGGCTCCAGCCGACTTTGCAGTCCAGCACATTAGCCCACAGCGCCACACCAGGACTCCACAATTTGTCTGGTTCATGTTCACAAGGGTAATGGCTTCAGTTTTTCACCATTCAGAGTGATATTGACTGTTGGCTTTGTATGTTGTTGTTGTTGTTAAGTGCCATTGAGTTGGTTCTGACTCATAATGACCCTGGACAGGCCTTCCAAGGAGTTGATTTTGTATATATGTACTTAATTATGTTGAGGAATTTACCTTCTATTCCTATTTTGTTGAGTGTTTTTATCATGACTGGATGTTGGATTTTGTGCCTTTTTCTGTCTCGGTTGTTAAGATCAAAAAACAATGTGGTAAATTACATTGTTTTTCTAATATTGAACCATCCATGCATACCAGGTATGAATCCCAGTGGGTCATGATGGATTTTTTGGCATATATTATTAGATTTTATTGGTTAGGATTTTGTTGAGAATTCTTGTATCTATGTTCATGAGGGATGTTCGATAATTCTCTTTTTCAGTGATTCTTTGCCTGGTTTTGGTATATAAGAGTTATGTTTGCTTCGTAAAATGATCTTAGGAGTTCTCTGTCCTTTTCGATATTATGGAATAGTTTGAGTTGGTGTCAGGTCTTCGCAGAATGTTTGCTGGAGTCCATCAGGAAAGCCATCCTGCTAAGACCTCATTTAGTTGGAAGTTTTTAATAACATGATTAATTTCTTCTCTTCTTACATGCCTGTTCACATTTTCTACTGAAGTCTATATTATTGTATGTTTCAAGAAATTTGTCCATTTTCGTCTAGATTTTCAAGATTGTTAGAATACAGTTCTTCATAGTGTTCTGTTATAATTGTTAGAGGTATTGGATTATTGTGTTTATTTGGGTTCTGTATTCTTTTTGAATGTGTACGTTTAATTGCTATAAAATGCCCTTTGAGCAATTTATAGTAAGTTGTGTTTTTGCTCTCACTTGATTTACGGAATTTTTAATTTCATTTTTTATTTGATTTATTATCCAGCAGCTTTTTAAGCAGTTTGTTGTTTGTAGTAGAAGAGGCTTTCTAGTATATTGATATTTTTAAATATATTCAAATTTGCTTTGTGACCTAACATATGGTCTATTCTGGTGAACGTTCCTTGTGCACTGGAAAAGAATATGTATTGTGCTGTTGTTAGGTTGAATTTTCTGTTTATGTCTAGGAGGTCCAGTTGGTTGCTTGTGTTGTTTAGATCTTCTGTGTCTTGTTGAATTTTTAATAGTTTGTCTTACACTAGAAGCGGTGTATTAAAATCTTCTATTATTATTGTTGTTGTTGCTGTTAAGTGCCTTCCAGTTGGTTCCAACACTAAACCTTTTATTTCCAACGAGTGCCTGCTGCTTCAAATCCTGACCCCTTGTGTTTCAAATCAATCTTGTGGCCTGGTGCTTACCCTACAGCACCAAACCAAGATTATTACTGTAGTGGGTTTTTTTTTTTCTTCACTTCTAATAAGAGTTTCATTTATGTATTTTGGGGCTCTTTCATTGGGGACATAGATATTTATTTCGGTTATGTTTTCTTTTCAGTTACCCCGTAATTATGGTTTAATGTCCTTCTCTGTCTTTTATGCTAGTTTTTGCTTTAATACTTATTTTATCCAAGCTTAAAATGGCCACTCCTGTTAATTTTTTGTTGTTGTTAGCTTGATATATTTTTTCTATTTTTTTATTTATTTTTAGTCTATCTCTTATCTTTGTGTGTATGATGTGTTTCTTGTATATAGCATGTAGAAGGATCCTGTTTTCTTTTCCGTTCAGATACTGTCTCTTGAATATGATACATTTAATCATTTACATTCAGTGTAATAATTATTGATAGGTATGAATTGATTGGGGTCATTTTGTTTTTTTTTTATGTGTTGATGCTATTTTCTTTGTTCCACATAATTTTCTGCTCTGAGTTCCTTTTGCTTGTATATTTGATAGGAAGATAGATTTTCCCCCTGCATATTTGATAGGAAGATAGATTCATTTTCTTTGAGCTTAATCTGTAATTTATTATTTGCTTTCTCCACTTAAAACAGTCCATTTTAATTTAGAAATCTACTTCTTTGCTATTTTCCAGTGCTATATTTACATTATGCCCTCTTTTTACTTTGTAGTTAACTTCATTATAAATCAGTATTTCTGGTTCCCTACATTTAGTTTCCTAGGTTTTTCTTACTTTAAACACTTCTATATCATGTATGTTAACTTCAGGCTGTTGTCTGTTGCTGTTGGTTCTCAAAGAATACCCTTTAATATTTTTTATAAAGTTGGTCTGGTTACTGTAATTTCCTTTAATTCCATTTAGCTGAAAATGTCCTAATGTCATTGTCATTTTTGATGGACAGCTTTGCTGCATATATGATTGTTGGTCATTTGTCTTTCAGAGTTTTGTAGATGCTATCCATTGTCCTCTCACTTGCATGGTTTCTTTTGAAAAATAAGAGCTTAGTTTTATTGGTTCTCCTTTGTAGGTAACTTCTTTTTTTTTTTTCAAGCTGCTCTCAGGATTCTTTCCTTTATTTTGGATTTAGAAAGTTTGATTATGATATATTCTGGTGATTTTCTTTTGGAAACATTCCTGTTTGGTGTTCATTCAGCTGCTGATATGTTTTTTTTCTCATCTTTCGTAATGTCATGGAAGCTTTCTTCTAGCATCTCTGAAAAATTCCCTGTTTTTGTCTTTCCCTCTTCATGGTATTCCAAATAAGTCTAAGGTATTGTCTCCTTGCTGTCCTCTCTTTCTATCTTGAGATTTTCAATTTTCAATCTTTCTATCATTCCTTTGAAGATACCTAAGTATCATTCTTTTAAATTCTTTTTCAGTTAATTCCATTACCTTTTATTCCTTAGAAATGTTTTCTAGCTCTGCATCCTGGGTATTTGTTTGTGCCATTCTTTCTTGTTTTGTTGTCTGCTCTACAATTGTCTCTTGTCTCCTTGACACTTTGGTGTTTTTGTATTTGTATTTAATTGATAATTGTATGCTAATATGTTCCTAGGCACTCACCAGCTGTGTCCTGTGGGTGTAGTTAGAGGATGAAAGCATGTACACAGTTCTGCATTTACTATTAGTGCACCTCAGTTCAATATTAAGTTTGGCTGTTGGTGACTGCTGTCTATTATTGATCGGGTGGTGCTGAACATAGGAGTTGGTATTGGCTCATGCTTGGTGGGTAGAGCTACAGAGGGTAAAGTTGTAACGGGGCTGTTTGGGCATGGTTGGTGTCCCATTGCTAGGTGGGAAAGAGGAGAATCTCTGCACCTGCCCCTATCCCCAACCTTTTAAGAACACAGACACAACAGGAAACAAAATATAATAATAATAAAAATAAAACAACTGAAAATGAGAAGAGAAAATAATAAAGGGGAAAATGGAAATAAAAACAGGCAACAATCAAGAAAAAAGTATAACAAAATATATCGAAGGAAAAGGAAAATTGAGTTGTACAAGACAGAAATAAGAGAGGAAATAAAAGATTAAAAGAAAAAAAAAACCACAAGAAAAACCAACGAGAAGGGAAGATGATAAAAGAGAATAGTAAAAAAAGATGAAAAGGGGGTAAAGAAGAGGGGAAATGAGAAACAGAAGAAAAGGAAAAACAAAAGAACAGAATAGAAAGGATAAAATTCAAGGGATTGGAAAGAGTGAAGGAGAAAAAAGAAGAAATAAACAAAAACAATGACACAACAAAAGGGAAAAAAACAAACCCAAAACAGTGCAACAGTTGGACCCAGAAAGGGAAAAACTCTGGGGATTCCTACAAACCAAGGTGTTTACGACATGGGTATGGGAGGGATGTGACATTGGAGTTTCTGACCCTAGATGAAGTTCCTACCTGCCTTGGTGTTATCTCTGTTTGGAGTCCTCCATTTGGAAGTCGTTTGTGGAGGTCTTTGATGGAGCTACTTTCAGTGTCTGTTAGGACCTATGGTGGGACACAGGGTGGCTCTGTGGGTTCTGTAGGTTTGGAGCAGAGCCCACCTGAATTGAGACACCAAAGCGGTGTAGCTGACCCTACCTCACATTTGCACAACTCCCAACCACTGGACTCTGAACTCAGATAGATGAGGGTGGGAGCTGGCCACACCTCTGTTCATCAAGCGAATCACATTTTCCCAATGCCTGTATGAATCTGATATGCCAGGTCACCTGTTGCCGTACTGCTTGCAAAAAAAGATGATCACCCAACATGTGGCTGGCTGTTTACCAATTAGTTTCCCTCTCTCGCTGTCCCTGGAGTTTTGGTGTGGCACTGTGGACTATGAGCTAGACTCACAGGTTGGTTTGAACCTCAAGGTTGGTGGTTCAAGCTCACTGGCCATTCCTTGGAAACCTTATATAAGGTCGTTATGGTTTGGAACCAACTCAACAGCTATTAATTCATAAGTAACTTATTAATTATTAATAAGTACAACAGTAAGTCTAAAAGTATTGCTACAAAATCATGGATGTCTTTGTTTTAAAAAAATTAACAAAATGTGAAGCTATTGTTTCTAGACATATCCCACTTTGGAGACAGTGTTTCCATCTATCTAACCCTTTTCCAAAGAATACTATTCAGTTTACACTATGTCCTGATGGAAGTTTTGGCATCCTTTGGGACTCAAAAATTATGTCCCTTTTAGAAGTCCTTCCAGTTTGGGGATCAATAGGATTCCTGAAGGAGCAAGATAAGAACTGTACAGTAGATGGGGTAAGAGTTTCTAAACAAAGTCTTGTGGCCTTTGACACTGTTGAAAGATGAGTCTGATTATTGTTGTGATGGGAGAAAAAAAATTCCTCCTTGCCATTTTCATGGCCTTTTTCTTGCCAATGCAATTTTCAGTTTTCTTAAAATTTGTTCAATAAAAGCCCCCATGATCAAGATTATTACCCCTTTTGTTCCTGTTGTTACTAAGTGTCATTGCAGAGTTGGTTACAGCTCATAGTGACCTTGTATAGGGTTTCTAAGGCTTTTAATCTTCATAGGAGCAGAAAGCCTCATCTTTCTTTCGCAGAACAGCTGGTGAGCTCGAACTGCATACCTTGTGGTTCGCAGTACAGTGCTTATCTTTCCCCAGTAGATTCATCCCATGTAAACATCTTCGTTGGCTTTGATCATACTTTTAAAAGATCAGATGATCAGCTCTTTAAGCTAGCTGATCTTCATGCAGTGCTTTTGGCACTCAACAAGTCCAAAGCTTGATGAGGCCAAGATCTTAGCTTAAAATAAAAAATGCCAAACCATGTGGGATGTCAACTTTAATAGTTATTGCTTTGATAGGAATTCTCAAGTCTTCTTCCACTAGTTTCTAGACTTCTGTCACAGTGTATTCATTCATCTAGGTTGACTCAGTCTTCCCCTTTCTTTGCATTCTTTCTGACCTTCCTTAAAATGCTTGATCATCTAAAAACTGTTTGATCAATCTAAAAACATTTATGTGAGGCATAATTCCCATAAACCTGCTGCAAAGATTCACTGATATGGAAAGCCATCCCTAATGAGACTAGGAAAAGTGTGTTATGGATAAAACGTCTCTACAGCCATCCACTTGCAATAAGACATGTTTAAACATGTTTTGTTTGGAATAAACCTGTGTATGTATGAACTAGAAGAACCCTAATAACAATACCTTTTTCGCATAGTCTTACATATGCAAAAGTTGTTTGTTTGTTTAAGAAATATGAGTAGAATATAGTCATACTTCTCTTCACTGCCATCATTTTTTTCTCTATGGTTTTGATAATCAGTTTCTGTTTACTGTTAGACTTCCATTCATTTTGTTGTTGTTCTAAAATAGTTTTTCTGCACTTATTTTGTATAACTTTGCATTAGGCCTGCTTTGCTTAGTAAAAGTTGCCCTTGTTTTGTTTTTGTTTGTTAAGTGTCAAGTCGGTTCTGACTCATAGCAACCCTGTATAGGATTTACAAGGAGTGGCTGGTGGGTTTGAACTACCACCTTGGCCTTGCAGTCCAGCGCATATCCTACAGCGCCACACCAGGACTCCTCGTAGGACCCAGTATTTGTAGCAAGTGTCCATGTATCACTCAATTGTGTGAGAGAAACAATGAATTGAAGCGGAGCTATTTATTTAGGCTGAGCATTAAGCAGAGTCCTGGTGTGGCAATGTGGGTTGATGCGCCAGACTACAAAGCCATTTGAACTGCAAGATCGGTGGTTCAAGCTCACCAGCTGCTCCTTGGAAACCCTATTAAGGGTCACTATGGGTTGGAACTGACACTTCACAACAACAACAAAGGCATTATGCAGGACTCCTGGTGTGGCTCTATAGGATCAGCATTGAGCTGCTAACCACAAGGTCAGCAATTCAAACCCACCAACCACTCCTTGGAAAATCCTATACAGAGTCGCTATGAGTCAGGCCTGACTCCACAGTGCCTAACACACACACACACACACACACACACACACACACACATTAGCTGCTCAATTAGCACATATAAGATCTTTTATTAAACTGAGGTTATCTCCAGAGTTGAATTGGAGAGAAGAGAGAAAATTATCAACCCCCATTTCAATCAGAGCAATGTTGTCTTGTTTGTGTGTTTATTATTCCTATTTAGATACTGGGCTTCTGATTAAGATTCTTAAAGGAATTTTGTTAACAAAAGGAAATATCTGAAAGTCAGTATGCAAAAGTTATACAATTCTTGACTAAAAATTTCATTCTTTTTTTATGTGATATTTGATTTTCATAGATTAAAGTTGCAGTTATAAATTGAATGTTATAAATCAGAATTCAGTTTTTAATCCAGGCAACTGATTATCAAGTAAATATGTAGGTAAAATTGTCATGTAAAACTGAATGTTGAAGTAATTGGATTATATTAATAAAAATAAGTTTGTGCCCTAAAAAACTAAATGTGTGTAACATTTAAAAGAAATGTTTGCAGCATGCACCTAATACTGATAGTACTGATAGTACTTGGTGCTCTGATTTTACAAACTTTATGAAATGTTCTTTTTTTTTTTTAAAAGATGTCTCAGAGCATGTCTTCAGTATCTTCAAGGCATTCTGAAAAAATAGCTATTCGAGAGTAAGTATTTTATTTATGTTTAGGGTTTGCTTATATGAAAAAAAAAATACTGATTTGTATAGTATTTGATTGTTATAAAACTGTTACAAAACGTGACTTTTTTAGTTTATTAAATTTTTGGTTGTGAAATACCTCATGGTCACACTCCATTGACATCTCATTGTAATTTTATTTTATCTTCTCAAAGTAATTTGAAAGGGCTAGGTAGAATCTGTCTTTACCAGCTATGTGACAGTCTTTAAATGGGTAGGGTAGTCTGTGAGCTTAAATGACACTGTTTTAGAGAGCCCTTTTTAAGATAACCTGTTCTGAAAATAACTCTTCAATCAGAACAGTGACTGCCACACAGTTAGTTGGTGGCTATACTTGTAGGATAATCAATAAATACAAAACTGTTAGCCTTTAAAAAGCTTTCCCAACTGCCTTTGATGTGATGATTTATGAAGTATAGGACTTAAACTTACTGAATTAAATAATCTAGACAACTACAAAATCTAAGAGAAACTTTCACAGCCTGTTGAATTGTTTTGAACACACTTCTAAGGGCACCAACCAGTGACACAGATAATTCTGGCAGCATATAAGGAGTTCTGCCTACGTTTTTCTCCCTTGCTTCTTTCTTTCAGACTCCATGACACTCAATAATGTTCTCTTTCTTGTTGAAAAGTACACAAATAGGAACCGGAGAATTGGGTTTTGATTCTTTCTTTGCCACTGTAACTGTACATACAACGTCGCTGTTTCTTAAGTCTCATAGAAACGTGTATTTCTTGTAAAATGAAAGATGAGTAATATACTCCTCAATGACTTGATGAAATGTAGTAGGTCTTATTTCCCCACTCATCTAAGCAGATTTTTTTTTTCCCCTCCTTTCAAATGTTAGCTAACACTAGAAATTTGCCTGAGGAAATTTGGTCTCTTGGTCTCTGATAGTTGCTAGTATTGCTCTTGCATGCTCAGCACTTCCATTAAGAAGTTGTGCAGAGTTCAAAAAAACCATCATATAAGTGTGAAATCTATTGCATTAATGCTTGACTATCTAATTGAACATTGTAAGGAGAATTGTGGGAGAAGTGACTTTTAAAAATCTGTGGGAGAATTGACTTCAAAGATAAAGGATTTCTTCCATGAATTTATTGAAGTCCCTTTGCATATACTTAAATTTCCAGAATAGGGTGATAGTCAATCTTCTCTATAATAAAATTGCATTGCTTTATTTAGTTTTCAGGTGGGAGATTTGGTACTCATCATCCTAGATGAACGCCATGACAATTATGTGTTATTTACTGTTAGTCCTACCTTATATTTTCTGCATTCAGAATCTCTACCTGGCCTGGATCTCAAACCAGGTGAGGGTGGTAAGTGTCACATTCCTAACTAAAATAATAAACTTCAAGTGGAGGAGATATATTAAATATTCTTATTTTCTGCTGTCTAATTGTATTAGAATTAAGTTGCTAATAGAAAACTACTTTAATGTGTTTTGCTTGTTTTTATGTAAAACCTATATTCACCAGGATTCCATTGTCATTTGAAAATTAAGAGTATAGTTCTTACAGTAAATCTGTTGATCGGAATATTTTCCATATCTTGTGGTCCAAGGACTTTTATCATGTAAAATTATCTGTATACATTCAATTCAGACATGAGAACATATATCCAGAATATCTTATATCTTGTTCAATTTTTTTTTTTTAATGAAGATTGCTTGTAGCCTTCATTGTATCTCAGAAACTTTAGTTGGAGTAATTTTTTGGTAAGATATTCTTAGCATCAAATTTGTTATGGCAACTTCCTTTTCTGATAAATTTTAAAAGAGAATGCATATGAGGATAAATTAAAAAGTATTGCTATAAAATCACAGAAACCTTTGTTAAGTAAATATCAACATATGAAGCTATTGTTTCTCAACATAATCTCCCTCATGTAGGTCTATACACTTCTGAAGGCAGTGTTTCCATCTTAACCATGCATCCAAAGAATTGTGTGTTCTTCAATTTACGTCAAAACAACAGTTATTGCATTCTCAGAGGACTCAAATTGTGTTCCTTTGAAGTGTTCTTTAAGGTTTAGCAACAAAAGGGCAGTCTAAAAGTGTAAGATCAGGGTTGTGGAATGGATGGAGTAAGCTTTCCTAAGGAAATTCTTGTATGACATCCTTTGCTACCCTTGGAGAATGAGCACAGGGTGCATTGTTATTATGGGGGAAAACAGTCCTGGATGCAGTTTTTCTAGCCCTTTTCTCAGTTTTCTTTAAACCTCTTGGTAATAAAAGCCCCCACGATCATTCTTTGTCCTTCAACAAAGTCTTATCAGGTGTGTTACTGAGAGAATTTGTCTGTAGCTACCACATTGATCACAGAGACGTAATTTGTTTGGAATAAACTCATATGAACTGAAGCAATTTGCTCTGTAGCAATACTTTTTGACTTAACCCTGGTATGTTCTTAGCTTGTCATACGACTTCTCCTGCCATGTATTTTACACAAGTACTTCCCTTCACAAGATACTCATTGAACACCAGCTCACACAGAGCCTTGGTGACACAATGTTTAAGCACTCAGATGTTAACAGAAAGGTCAGCAGTTCAAACTTATCAGCTGCTCCAAGGGAGAAAGATGTGGCAATGTGCTTCCATAAAAGTTACAGCTTTGGAAACTATGTGACAGTTCTAGTCTGTTTATAGAGTCGGCTGCTAATGGGAATCAAGTTTTAACCTTTTCACGGTGCCATGCCAGCCACTGTATAGACATGTAGAAGGTGCTGTTCTACTCCTGAGGGCTTTTGTTTCAAACACTACATTGCCTTCCAAACAATTTGCCTTTTACTTTGGACCTAGAAAATACATTTTGTCTACATAACTTTGTTTTCAGATATTGGAAAAGCATCCTACTTCATTAGTTCTTTCAGTTGATGAGACTGTTGAGTTAACTTGGAATAAGTGTTAATCTTTCATTCATGCAAACCTCAGGAATCTGTTTTAACATTGACAATTTATATAATAATCTTTCAAAAAGATACTAACAATTTAATTCATCAGCTTCAGGTGGATCTAGAAGACCCTGGGTACTTGGGAAAGTAATGGAAAAGGAATACTGTCAAGCCAAGAAGGTAAGGAGCTCTGGTAGCATCGTGAGTGAGTGGTTACAAATCAGGCTGCTAACCTCAAGGTCAGCGGTTCAAAACTACCAGCCGTTCTGTGGGAGAAAGATGAGGCTTTCTGCTCCCGTAAAGATTTACACCCTTGGAAACCCTGTACAGGGTCGCTATGGGTCGGAACCGACTCGACGGCACTTCACAACAACAACAAATCAACTTTCCCTTCCATCATTAATGTTAAGTGCTGTCATGTGGGTTCCAATTCATAGCAACCCTGTGTAAAGGGTTTCTGAGGAACAGTAGGTGGGTTTGAACTGCTGACCTTGTGGTTTGCAGTTCAGTGCTGATCATAGCGCCTGAAAATATTTTCAGATGGTGAGGTATAGATTTTGGTAGTTTGACAGTCTCCTCCACTACTCTAGCTATGAGTAGCATGGGGGGTTGTGTAATTTCATTTTATCATTTAAGTGATTCCCTGTTTTCTTTCTCTTCTAGGCACAAAATCGATTTAAAGTTCCTCTGGGGACAAAGTTTTATCGAGTAAAAGCAGTGTCCTGGAATAAGAAAGTATAACTTACAGAAGGAATTAACAACATTCTTTGATATTTTTCTGACCTGTCCTACAGTGCTCATTCATCACTCCGAAAACAGCAGGCCATCTTTTTATACAAAGTCAGCTTGACAATACTCTTTATTGATGTACAACAGTGAATTTTTAACTGGCTACATTTTAGGAACAATAAATTCATCAAAATTCTCAGCTGAATTAATATGGGTTTTTTTGTTTTGTTTTTTTTTAACCCAGATAAACCTAGAAATACGGACCAAACTAGTTCATTTTCTCAAAGGGCATACCCTGTGCATTGTGGCTTATAATTAGCCATATTAATTGCCTGTTGAATATACATTAGCTTGAACTTAGATGTTAAATGTTAGTTATTATTACCAGCATTTGTCCTTTTGTGAAACCAGTATCAGACACTTGTACTCTTTAACACATTCTTTATAAAATGTATAAATTCTTCAAAACTATTTAAAGAGGAGTATTATTGCATGCAGATAATCATTCTTTTGAGTTTGCCTCTGTAGACTACTAAAGCAAATTGTCTCATTTATTATTTTTTTTAAAGTGCCCTTTGATGTTTCAGGAGAAAAAGGAGCTCTGTAATTTGACTGATTGATTTTTAAGATCAACCATAAATTATAAGCAATCTTTAAAGCACTTTCAGTGACTGTTGATCTGGGTTCTAAAGGGAAGCGTCTGTGCCACTGACAGTTTCAAATGAACCACTCAAACCTTCCCATCTTCTTTATTCCTGTTTAGAATAATCATATTGATGAAATGGTAATTCATGGCTGTATTTCAAGAAAAAGAAGGAAAATATGTTCATTGTACATTAACCATATAGAGATCATTTAAATAACAAAATATTGTATTGTAAAAGACATGTAGAATTTTAAAACAATAAAGATTTGAACCTGTAAATGTGTGTGCCTTTTAAAGAGGATACATTTCAGTACATTTGAGTGACTGCTGAGAAGTGAAAAAATTGTTCTGTATCATATCAAAGAGAAACGTGCTTATTACAAAAATGTTCTTTAACTATATATTATGTAACAGGGTAAAACAGTGTTAATTTTAATAGAATTGTGTTAACTAAATCTGTAGAGAAGAAGCCATGAAAAAGGGCATTTTAAATGAGTTAGTTGAGTGGGCTAAGACTTAATTCCAGTTTGTTGCTAGAAAATAATAAAATGACTCTTTTTTCAGAAAATATTTAATTTCTTCATAAAAATAAGTTAAATATTTTTTTAAATATGTATATCTAGTAGTACATAAATGAAATAAACAATAGTGTATAGAAAACTGAATTTGACAACATATGAATAAATTTAAAAAATTGGATTTCACATGTTTCTATTTAATCCTTCCATGGTGACATCTTTATGCAAAGATTCCAAAAGCAATAAATTAATTCAGAGTGGTTTGGTTGGGTTTAAATGAATTTGCTAGAATGCCATTTTGACATAGTTGCTACCCTTAAAATGAAATGTAATGTGTGGTCATTCTGCTGTGGAACTGTGTGCTGGCACATTACATCAAATCCGTTGTCTCATTAGTATTGCTCATTGTTGTTGGATTTTATTGTGTATAGCGTTTCTTAAAGCCTGTTTGATAACAGCCCCATCACTTTTCATGTATACCTTTATGAAATAACTATCATAATTACAAAAAGAAAAGAAAAATGAAAACATGGACGTCTAAACTCATCACTAGAATTCTTTGGGTAGTTAGACACAATATGCTGTGAGTGTTGCAGTCAGAATGCCTGAGTTCCAGTTTCAGATCTAACTGTTAACTTTGGGCCAGTTGCCTGAATTCTGGCCCTCACTGCTCATGTATAAAATGGTATAATAATAGGCTCTACCTCAGGGTTATTTTGAAGATCAGGTAAGAATGGACAATGTCAAAACATCAATATTGTTAACAAAATACTGCTGATGAATAAAACCAAAACCTTTAAAAGCCACTCTTGGGCCTCTCATAGAAATGGTTTTCTTTATTTCCTGAATGTTTCATTGTACTTCAAGTAAACTTCATACTTGAGTTAATATAATTTTTTTCTGTTTTGGCAAAGATACCTAGATGTACTAACAGCAGAATGAGAAAAAATCCTAAAATTTGATTTAAAAATAAACATTTAAAACAATTTTTTAAATTAATTGTAGCTATGTATCCCAAAGCCTCTGCCCTATTCTACAATTCTATAATTTCCTATAAGCCAATGACGTTTTACCTTCTTAGCCATTTTTATCTATTATACTAAATTGTAGACTATGCTACTATTTCTTTATAAATCAACTTGGGAGTGCGGTCGCCCCATACAATAAGCACTGGACTGCATGCACGGTGTATGTATGCCAGCCACTCAATGGGAAATAGTTGTCTGCTCTGTGAAGCTGTAAAGCCTCAGAAACCCAATACAGGGTAACTGAGTCGGAACCAACTCAGTGGCACATAACATCTGCTGTACAAATTTGTAGCTACACTGCTATTTCTTTATAAATCAAGTTTGCATCATATTTTTGCATATAATAACATGAGGATTTAGTGTTTCATAGCCCTACTTCCCTGATGCCCTCTTTCCTATGTAGTTTATTCTTTGCCAGTTTGTTGTGAAATGCCATTGAGTTGATTCCAGCTGCTAGTAATCCTGTATAGTGTTTCCAAGGATATAAGTCTTTGTGGGATGTTGGAGCAACTGGTGGGCTCCAACCTCAGATCTTGTGGTTTGCATTCCTGTGCTTATCTTACAGAACCACCGCGCTTCCTGGTGTCATATTCTTAAGTACCGTCCAGTTGGTTCTGATTCATAGCAACCCTGTATAGCGTTTCTAAGGAGCAGCTGATGGGTTTGAACTGCTGATCTTGAAGTGGAGTACTTATCCTTCAGCTCTATACAGTGGTCTAAATAATAAATCCCAGCTCCAGTTTTCTAGAAAAACCAAAGGCAAAACTAAAATTGGGGTATGGAGGTCTCCATGCTCCCTCCCTCCACCATTCACAAAACAAATACATTAAACAAAGGGAGGGGGTGGGGAACATGACTCAGAGTAACTATGTGTTGGAACTGACTATAAACGGCACTTAACAATACAATTTAAGGGAGAAGCATTGGATTTCCAGTTTGCAGGTTTGCAGCTCAAATCATCCATGTTCTCCAAGGCTACTCAAAAAACCTACACAGGGTCACTATGATTTGGAACCAAACAGCAGCAAGAGTGATTTAGAGTTGTAGGTGTTAGGCACCATAGAGTCAGTTCCAACTCAGCAACTCTAAAAGAGCAAAACAAAATAGCCTGCTGCAGCCCCATTTTCACAATGGGATAGAGCCCATTGTTGCAGCACTACGTTAATCCATTTTGTTGAGCGTCTTCCTCTTTGATTCTAAAGAGCATTCAAAGAAATCCAATACAGATCTCCTTGCTGTTTTGACTCTGTTAGTCATATTTCTCCAACACAAAAATTCAAAGGCATCAATTTTTTGATCCTTTTCATTGTCCCCACCATTCGTCCTGTCATTTTGCCAAGCTGTGGTGGCTTGTGTGTTCCTGTGGTTCAGGAAGCTATTATAAATGCCAGCAGGGTTGCTCATGGTGGACAGATTTCAGATGAACTTCCAGACTAATACAGACTAGTGAAAAGGAGAAACAGATTACTTCCAAATATTTAGTCACAGAAAACCTTATGAATAATAGTGGAACACTGTCAAATAGCACCAGAATATTGAATATTGAAACATGAAGAGCACCAGAATATTGTCAGATACAGTGCCAGAAAAGGAGCTCCTCAGGTTGGAAGGCACTCAAAATATGATTGGGGAAGAGACCTTCATTTGCTTATGAGGGACAAATCAAAATGAGTTTAAGTTCTGGTGTGGCACTGTGGGCTAATGCGCTGGACTGCAAAGTCAAGTTTGAACCCCAAGGTTGATAGTTTACACTCACCAGCCGCTCCTTAGAAACCCTATACAGGGTCACTATGGTTCAAAGCTGACTCAATCACACTTAACAACAGCAACAACAAACATCCTTTAATAATTGGAACATGGAATGTACAAAGTATGAATATAAGAATCTTGGAAGTTGTCATAAATGAAACTGAACACATAAATATCCATATCCTAGGTATTAGTGAACTGAAATGGACTGGTATTGGCTATTTTGTATCAATAGATAATCACATGGTTTACTATGCCAAGAATGACAAATTGAGAAGGAATGGAGTCACATTTACCATCAAAAAACATTTCAAGATCTACCTTGAAGTACAACTCTTTTATAGGATGATATCCATATCCCTGCAAAAAACAGTTAATAATAGTGATATTATTCAAATTTATGCACCAACCACTAAAGCCAGTGATGATGGAAGAATTCCAAAAGGGAAGAACATGCTAAGCATTACTCAAACTGGGAACTGTCAAGTCTTGACTCGCAATTTGAAGGATTTTATGGACAAAATGATTCAGAAAACATGAAATGATGAAAGGAATACACAGTGTACCAAAGAAATGTTCTATGTTCAACCATTTCAAGCGGTAGCATATAATCAAGAGTCTATGATACTGGAGGAAGAAGTCCAAGGTGCATTGAAGATGTTGGCAAAGAACAACGAGAACTGATGGAATGCAAATTGAAATCTTTCAACAAACTGATGTGGCACTGGAAGCACACTCATCTATGTCAGGAAGTTTGGAAGACAACTACCTGGCTGACTGATTGTAATGTGCCCATTCCAAAGAGGTGACCCAATGGAATGTGGAAATCACTGGACAATATCATCAATATTGCACACAAGTAAATTTTTGCTGAAGATAAAGAATGGCTGCAACCAATACATTGACAGAGAACTGTCAGAAGTTCAAGCCAGATTCAGAC